TTTTCTCTGACTGCATGACAGGTTTTCACTTTTTCTGTGAATCTGTAAAAACACAGGCTGTACAGTCACCCCATTAAGTGCCAATATTGTTACTGATGGGAAATGTTACCACTGTATGAGACTCTAAAGAATCCCCTAAAAGGCTGTTCATCATAACTTGAATGGTGCATCTTGAATATAAGATGATGGTTGAGGACATCAAGTTTTCTTACTGTTTTCTTACTAATTTTCTTTCTTCGTGTCAGCCGTGGCCAGTAACAGGAGGTCAGAACCTGGCCCCAGATCCTCCACAGAGAGATCTGCTCCTCACGGGGTTAGTACGGTTGCCTTCATTCACATTTATTGAAAGGTCTTTTTGAAGTTGTAAAAATTATTCTAACACTGTTGTGTATATAGGCATGAGGATGGCACAGTTCGTTTCTGGGATGCATCAGGAGTCTGTCTCTATCCCATGTACAAGCTGAGCACAGCTGGAGTATTCCACACAGACGCTGACCCCAATGACAACATGAACCAAGGGACTGAAGGAGAATGGCCTCCATTTAGAAAGGTATGTTTGTCTAATCTAATCTATAGAAAAGAACATTCTCATTTATATTTTAAGGTGAATATAAAGACACAACACTGGGACTTATTTTAAGTATTATTCAGGTATTCTATCACGAATTCCATCAATTAGTTGAGTAATCGAATAAGAAATACTTTTGTCTTAATAATGAGCAATGATAAATATTCAAATAGAAAAAACACAGGTCTTTCCAAATGAGCTGCTCGTTGGTTAGCATTTTATAAATGGCAAGTTTTCCAAGTTTGACCGCATATAACATTTCTCAACAAAACTAGAACTAGAATATTAGAGTGTGTGTGTGTGTGTGTGTGTGTGTAATTTTTTTGTTGTTGTTTTTTAAGAAAAAGTGTTCTTAAATGCAAATAAATTATCAATGGGCAATTTTGAATCACTAAAATCAGAATACTTTAATAATTCCTGAGTAAACTATGTGTACCTAACCCCACTAAGTGCACGTCTTTGGCTGTGGGAGGAGGGCACTCCACACAGTAAGCTTCTGGCCAGATGGTTATTTAGAACCCAGGACGTGCTTGCTCTGAGGAAACCGTGCTAATAAATTTATAATTAATCTTAATTAGCATTTAAATTAACATATTATTTTACATTATTTTCCTTTAAATTGACAGCAGTTATTTATTTTAAGATTTATGTAAAAGAGGAATGTTAATCAAGGTCTTGCATAGCAGCATATTAGGCAAAGTTGGAAGTAGAGGTGTTACTCTAAATTTCACCCTTGTCATGTTTGTGTTTAGGTTGGCTGTTTTGACCCCTACAGTGATGACCCAAGGCTCGGCATCCAGAAGATCCATCTCTGCAAATATAGTGGTTATCTGACTGTAGCTGGCACTGCGGGACAGGTGACTATTGAGAATTTTACAACAGACCTATGCCATGTTGGGCTAAGTTAAGCACTTAACTTACATCAGTAAGGTAAACTCTGACTTGTCAAGTAAGAGTTAAGTTTTAAGAATTATACTTTGCTAGTAAGTCAGTATATATGATAAAGCCTGCTCTTGAGCTTTGACCTTCTGTAGAAGTTTGAGAGAAATGTAGATTTTTCTGTTGATTCTTACGCCCTCTTGCATATGTAGGCGTAGTAGAGCTTAAGAAGTCAGTTTTTTCACGCTCAGTGTTGAATTTATTTATATTCATAAACACTCTTTTCCCTCAACCAAAGCATCATGCTGCCACCACCATGCTTCAGTGCAGGGATTGTAATGGCTAGTTTCCTCCATAGTGCTTTGGCTTACAGGCTAAAAAGTTCAATCTTTCTCTTATAAGACCAGAGAATTTTGAGTCCTTTAGGTGCTTTTTGGCAAACTCCAGGTAGGCTGTCATGCTGTGTCATGTGTATCCAGTAAGACTCCCCCATGCTACACAAGCCTACCTTGGAATATATGCAAGAGAAGTGTAACTAAAGCTATACCGGCAGTGTTGAGGAACCAGAAGACAAGAAGGCATAAGTGCACAAGGTATGAGAATATGGGGTTGTTGGAATGCTACTACCAAGGAATCCCAGTGGAAGGGGTTACATGAAGTGGATGTGGGACCTATGGAATCACACCCAACATCTAGACTAACAGCAAAACAACTCAGTGTTCAAATAGCTGGAAGAAACTACTCACAACTAGAGATCAACGAGGTACAACACAAATGCTATGCCAAGGGTTGGCCAAAACATCATTCCCACCCTCCGAGATTGGGTCACCAGGTCCAAGTACAACTGGTGCATTGTGTGTGATAGGATCATGGCTGAACTGGAAAACTGGACCCTCTTTGGCTGATTAACTAAGACTGCATAAAGCACCTCTTGAAGTTCTACAAGAAGATGTGAATGCAATATTACAGACAATCCTTATTGTCTAAGCTTGAAGGATAAAGACTGTCCGCAGACCGAGTAGCGTGTGTGTGTGTGTGTAGGCCTACGTTGATATCACATTATTGTGATTATTCCCACTGTTATTTTGACTTTGCAGATCCTGATGTTGGAGTTGAATGACGAGGCAGCAGAGCAAACCGTGGAGGCTAAAGTTGTGGATTTGCTGCAAGGCCAAGAAGGATTTCGATGGAAGGTAGAGAACAGAACTGATTACTCGCTATGTTTGTTTATCTTTTTACAGTGACGTGCAGCAGCTGTAGACATTATGAAGGACGGATCTGGCTACTGTAACGTCACCCGTATGTTTTAGGCCCTGCATTGTGAAACTTTTTTCAAGATGAGCTCTGTAAAGTTTTTGTAGGTTCCTTTTGTTCATGTGTTTCTTTAATCTGTTTATTTATTCATTTCTGTAAGTGTTACTGCATTACACTATATGTGACAGTGGCTAAACTGGCAGGCCTCAGCTACATCCACATACTGTATGGGTTCTGTACACATACACACTTATCAAGGGTAAAGTAACAGATTAATGAAATACTAGTATTTCAGTCAGAGATGCTGTATAGAAGTTTTACTAAGTGCTACTCTGTCTCCAACAGAGTTTATTCTCTACAGATGCCTCCCCCAAAAAGTGTTTTTGCAGTCTGGCACAAAAATGATTGAATGAAAAATTTAATTAATGCAACTTTGCAATCAAGCTAAGTAGCATTAATAACTAAGAAATCCACCCTCTTGTCTAAAT